ATAAATGTTAGGACTTCCCTGGATTAAAGTCTAGAAGTAAAACTCCATCTCTGTGCTCCGGGCTTCGTGTAGGTCAGCAGAAGCACAAGTACAGTAAGTGTGGTGAACAGCTCAAGGGGTAGGACCAGACAGATTTCGAGGAAGTTGGGCACGGCCCAGGGCAGAGGTAGTGCCCAGGTCACGTTGATGGTGATCTTAATGGAAGACAGGTGAGCAGAGGCTGGCAAATGTCATGGTGACTCCAGTTGCTGTCTGGTGCTTAGGGACACATGGTTTGGTGTGGGGTGAATCAAGGTAGAAGAACGGCCATGAAAGATCTGTATTCGCTTTTCTTAAGACAAAGTACCTGTTGGCGCCTGAAGCACTTCTAGTGGTTGGCTTTGTCAGGAGGAGAAACGATGTCATGGAGAGGGCAGGGGATGGTGTGTGAGCCTGTGGCTGGTGCAGGTGAGTGGCAGAGAATCAGGATGTTCTGTGTGGTGTAAACCCCATTCTCTGTTGTTGAGATTAGGGGTCTGTTTGGAATGGCTTTCCTCCAGACACATGACTCAGGCCTCAAGTAGCTGGAGTTCTGTACACCTTCCCCTCCCCCATGACCTGCTCACATAGAAGGTCAGGAATATCGGCAGGTCTCCCACTGCCCTGAGGGAGTCCACTGTCTGACAAGGTCGTGTCGATGAAACATGTAGGTGCCCTTTACATAGGGCATAGGGCTGTCCTTTTACATAGTTTACAGATACACACCTGAGCCTCAGAAAATCTGGAGCTGCCCCCTGGGAGACTGATAGTGAACTTCCCAGTCGTCCTCATTTGGTCTCGTTCAGGAAGCCTTCCTGGGGTCCCTCTCAGGTGCTGGGTCCCAGGATGTCCCCGCAGGCACAGCGCCCGCCCTCATGGAGCCGGCCATCTGGGAGCCTCCGTCCAGGAAGCCTGGCATCCGTGTCGCGGTGCCTTCAGGGCGCCAGGGACCCAGGCCTGGGAGCTGGTCTCGGGGCCCCGCTGGCCATGTGCGCAGAGAGGCGCCGCGAGGCATTTGCTGATGTCCGTCTCTCCTCTGCCCCAGCACTCCATCCGCGCGCTAGCACTCAGGGTGCTGCGGGAGACCTTGAGAAGCCAGCCAGCAAGGTTTAAACACTACGCAGAGCTGACGATCATGAAGACGCTGGAAGCCCACAAAGACTCCCACAAGGAGGTGAGCCAGCCTCCGGCGCACAGCCCTGCCGCCGCGGGGTCTGAGCAGCGCTGCGGGCCCAGCAACCCACAGGGCCGCGGCGGCAGGGCTCTCCAAGCCTCGTCCTGGTGGGTCTGCCCTTTCCCCTGCGGTCAGGGTGGGGATGGAGCCGCGCGAGCCTCGCTCTGGGCCCTCGGCCAGGCTCCCTCACCCGCAGGGCCCGGCTCTCCTCGGGGGGCTGTCACCCCACCGCCGCCCTCGGGAGAGCTAGGTGAGGCCGGCACGTGCGGGCGGGCTCCCCCCACGGGCTCGCAGGACTGGAGGCGGCCCGCCCGCTCTGTGGGCTCCGGACGCGTGAGGCATCCGCACTCTCCTCGGGCTCCCGTCACAGGGCAGGGAGGGCGCGGTTCTGGGCCCGACACGTGTGCACGCAGAGGACCGTCCGTGCGTCCTCGTCCAGTCGCTTGCTGGACTGTCCCGGGGCCTGACGCCCGCAGTCCTCTGCGTATCGAGAGATGGGAGGTGGGGTGGGTGGAGCGTCCTAAAGGGAGATGGTTTCAGGGACGCCTGCCAGTGAAAGGCACTGTGGCAAACAACCGTCTAGTCCCAGGTTTGGAAAACTTAACTTGGCGAAACAGTGGGTTTGACCCCGAAGTGACACATAAGCACGTGTCAGTTCAGTCTTTTGGCTCCCGTGTGACTCTCGCAAGCACAGCCGTGGATTAAAGGAACTGTGATTAGAGCAGTTCTCTTCACAGCGAGAATCAGACCCTGAATTATGGCTTTTTCCTCTGTTCAGCAGTTACGTGGCTACTGAACAGAGACCGGTCTGACCCCCTCAGGTTCCCACTACAACTGCAGGCTCAGCGAGGTTGAGGGCGTCCCTCTGGCCGGGCATCTCTCCACCCAGCAGTCCTAGTGCCACACAGGTACATGAGTGATGGGTGTGTGTGCAAACCACTCACTCACACTTCCGGGATCCAGCTTGGTTGCCTGATGGTGACAGCACCCACTCATGTTCGAACAAAACGCTTTCCACTTCAGATAACTCATTTGAAAAATGAGAGGACCAGGTAAGCTAACAGTAGTCACCGTAATTATTCCCAGGTGAGGAAGAGGGTCCAGGAGGTCCCATCCTTTGTCAGGTAATGCACACGTGGCAGTTCCTGGCAGAACCAAGATGTGAACCAGGTCGTGTGTCTTTTAAGGGGCAACTGGTCTGTGCTCTTTTTTTTTTTAAACCACGATAGCTTCTCCTTAATGAGAATACATGATGAAAAAAGCGGCATGAAATGGACGTTCTTTTACATACATACGATGTCAGTTGTTTTCAGAGGGGAGGACATATTGAGACTGTGACACTGAGGTGAAACAAAGCCACCTGCACCGTGTGGCGGTCACTAGCCATCCACTTGGCAGACGTCTGTCTTTACAGTGGCCCTCCTGATCGTAACCTCCAGGACTTGGACAGTGGACCCGGAGAAGTATTCGTTACCAGAAGTTGCTCTTTACTGTTTACGTGAGGGATCTTGTTGTTTTCCCCTGCAAAGCGAGAGACCGAGGAGAGAACGTTCTTCGCTTTGAAGTCCTTTAGGTTGTGTAAGGGACACAAGCAGAAAATACCTGCTGCTTAAAGCAAACGTAGCAGCGCTCAGTTGCCGTGGAATTCTTGTAACCCAAGGGTCTCCACGCCGCTGCTGTCACTGACTTCCTGATAAGCAGGTGGAGGAAACACTGTGTTCTGAAATGAGTGCGGTTACTGGCAGGCCTCCCCAGCTTTGCATGCTTTCAGACTCACCTTGACTTGGTGCCCTTGTCGTTTTCCTTATGAAACTTCACGCTGTCACTTTGCTGGAAGCTTCTAACTTGGGCACCTGTATGTTTTGGTGTTAGGTATCGTTTTCGTTTTTGTTTTTTTTTCCTTTAAAACTCTTCCATGTGGTCTTTCTCTGGCTTTGCCAATCTGCTTTTGTTTTTAGGCCGGATAGTTAGACGCACAGGGTCTGTCTGGTAGCCGTTGTGCTGGCATATCCCACACAGTGTGTCTCTGGTTGCTACGTTTTCTCATCGGCACGTTCAAACATCATTCCCACATTTATTGACTGGAAAGGAGCCGAAGTGTTTCTAGACCCGGTTACTAGTCAGACAGGGGCCAGTCTCTCTTCCCGTCTAATTGGCACTCCCAAAGTGTGCTCCTCCCGGCGACAGCTCTGGGGACCTCCTTCTCGTTACAGCTAGTTGGTTTTGTGTCCACAGGCAAAACCCAGGCTTCGGCAGATGAAGGAGGTGGATCGGCAGGTGGACACAGAGGGGCTGTGAGAGCCCTTGTCACCAGACATGTCATTCCTTGGCCACTGTGGCCGGGGCCCCGCCAGCGTGCGTACTGTAGTTCTGGCCGCGGGGCTGTAGGCATGAAGCACTTCTTGAAATGCAGTTTCTATAAGTTGAAAAGTGTCATAAGGCCCTTAGGGAAGATGCCTAAAGCAGGGCTGAGGATAAGATGGCTTGTTTGTCACCCAATAAGCCAGGGACTGTGTTCCCAGGGTCTTTAACAGGAGCTATGAGTGCAAAACACTGTTGTCACACGCTGAAACGTGCCAGGCACTAAATCTGTCTCAGGCATCGTTCATCACAAGCTAACGGAGATGTTTTACAATAAGCAAGATAGAGGATTCGGGTACCGGTTTAGAGGTTTTATTTAAAAAGTTGGTATTGGGAATTCCCTGGCGGTCCAGTGGTTCAGACTCAGCGCTTTCACTGCCGAGGGCCTGGGTTCGATCCCTGGTTGGGGAACTAAGATCCCATAAACCTCGCAGCGTGGCCCAAAAAGTAATTAAATAAATAATTAAAAGTTGGTGTTTGTCAGGTTAGACAGTTTTCATATTACCTATTTGAATAAGTAAATCTCTTTCATTGTCTAGCTCCTTATTTTTATCTTTTTAGTAAATAAAATTTGCTATTGCGTTTCAGTAGCTCATTAATGAAGTTACTATGGTAATAACCGTAGTGTTAGCTTTTAGCAAACATCCGAAGGGGCGAAGGCCTTGATAGTGACCTTTTAAAACCTTACGCCCCCCTTTCTGTTTTTCAAGAAACAACTCCATTAATGTTAACACTTCTTATCTGAGAACTTGACATCCGTTTGTTGGGGCTGGTACAGAACCTCTCCTTCAATGATTACGAGAAGATTTAGAGCTAAGAAGAGCACTGATACTTTGCATGCGATTCTGGGGTCAGTGGGAGTGCAAATCTAGAGGGGGAAAGCCTGGTTTTCGGTCCAGCCTCTGACCTCCAGCCCAGCTGTCGGTTTGATCCCTGCTGTCTAAGCCTGTATAGCGTGGCCGCCTCGAGAATCGGACACGGGACATGGAAGCATGCTTCTAACACCGTCAGGCACTGTACCAGTATTGCTGCGTAAAGCCGTCTTCAGACATCCGTACCGTCTCAGAGGCGCTCGTTTCAGTAGCTGCTGCTCCCAGGCACTGCGGCTTACAGGCGGTAGCCAGAGTGCTGGGGTCCTTGCTCAATGTTCTCTTTAAACTTGAGAGAAGCACCAACTCTGTTTCTTTGAAGATGTTCTATACTTGAGACTTTTTGCTAACCTCGCCCACGTTAATGAATATTCCATTACATTTTCCTATTAAAAAGAGGAAAATATCATCTTCGTTTTATGTCACTCTAGGAGGTCACCAGACATTTCTTGCCCCACAGCAGTCTTGGTGTTTAAGGCATCAGAATGGTTTAAGGCCTCAGGTGGTTTGGTTTGTTTGGGGAAGTTTGAGTCTCAGGTAAATATGAAACAACCACTGTTACGTTTCACGGGGTTTTATTTTGAAATCATTTCTAATTAGTTTTATGATTGCAAGGAATTAAAAAAGCAAAGCCAGACTAAATTTATTTTTACAATAGAACTTTTCGGGGACCTCTTGGCAAATATCACAGCCTGAGCAAAGCAGCGGCATGTCAGAGAGAAAGCACTTTAGCGAGCTGATGTTGTGCTTCAAATACCAATTAAATCACTCTCTGACCATGGCTCACCTAGGCCCCCTGCATCTGGAGTGGCCCTGAGAAGCCTCTCGGGGCAGCGGCCGTGTGTCAGTGGGTTCTGAAGAGCAGTGCATTGTGTGAGCGTGGAAAGATTATTTCACCTCTCTGGACCTTGGGTTTCTAATCTGTTAGCCCAGGGAGTGGACTGCATGCTTATCTGTGTGTCATCCGGCCTCAGGATAATGGAGGAGGCTGCTGAGTAACAAACCTCAACCTTTCTAGATTCTAAGTCTCCGGTCTTCTTTGGGCCCAGTCTTGGGCTATAGCCAGAGGCCCTATTTCCTTTGTAACCTTCAGCCTTTTAACAAAAAGACAAAACCAGAGACCTGTATAGTCATTTAAAAGGTCAAAGTTGCTGAGCCAGACAGTCTGACACTTGTAGTACAAACTGGTAAATGTCCCATTATTGGGCGGGTCGCAGGGCGGTGCTCAGACCTAAAGGAACTTATGGCTTAGGTGACTTTAGAGCAGAGGAATCCACGTGGGGTCCAGAGAGAAGTGCGCTGGGAGTCTGGGGCAGTTCGGGAGGATGCCGGCGGTGAGCCAAGCAGCGAGGCCCAGGGCTGTGGGCCAGGAGGACACAGCTGGGCTGGACCGGCTGGACCCACCCCGCCACAAGTGGAGGACCCATTGCCCACCCTGCCGGGTGGTTGGGACATGCCAGGCATGGTGTCTAGTCCTGAGTGGTGGTGGCCGCTGCCCCACGGTTACTCAGGGTGAGGGGACACGGCCCCTCCTCTCTGATGGGCCCAGCCTCCGAAGACCAGACATGACGCCTGCCCTTCAGCTCCCGTAGCCTCAGAGCGTCTTACTAAGAGAGGAAACTCGTCTGCAGAAAGCAGTCGGGGGGCCCTTGTTTAATGTCAGAACCCTGGAGTCTGGAGACTTGGGTCCTCATCCTACTTTGGCCAGTCACATGGCTGGGGATGGGACGCAGCTCTGGACGCCGGAAGTGCTGGCACCCGGGGTGACCT